AAAGTTTTGATTGCTGCTCAATTTTCTACGTGTCTATGGAAGAAAGGTTGTGTTTGTGTGTGTGTGTGTGTGTGTGTGTGTGTGTGTATGTGTGTGTGTTTCTGTCTAGCTTTTAACATGGCCTGAATGAGGATGAAATATTAATATCTTATACAGAGTATTTCCTCCCTCTAAACTAAGATTGTTACCTCTCTAGTTGGCAACATGAACCTGGAAGATTGGAGCTTAAAACTGAGGCAGACTAAAGTCCTAGGTAATATCCAACTTTATTCCAGGCATCAGACAATTTATACTTTGAGGGTTAATCAAGGTTATGAGCAAAGTTCACATGAGTTTTAGACAGTATACAGTCACAAGGACAACCCGTGCTTGGAAACATTTTTTAATAAAAGAGTAAGATGATGGGTAATTGAAGCACAGTTAGTAAAAACTCACAGAGAGAAATCAGGGTTCAACCTGAAGATCAGAAAAGCAAAGCAGCCAGGCAATGGCTCTTACCTCTACCTCAGTCCAAAATGGCAATCCTGCCTTTAGGAAACTTAGAATGAGACTGAGACTGACAGCTGTCTCTTTCCATTTTATATTCCTCTCTACGGCTGGGATTAAAGGCATGCACCGTCCGGTTCCTATGGCAACTAGTGTGGCTACTGGGATTAAAGGTGTGCATTACCACTGACTGGTCTGTAAGGTTGAATGATCAGTGGGACTGTCTTACTCTCTGATCTTCAGGCAACCTTTATTTATTAAAATACAAATGAGATGCCACTTTTGGTAACCTGAAACAAATGCAGCCCTATTTACTACACCTGGGAGGGACACAAAAGTATATAAAAGAAAGGTTGCTTTTTTTTTTTCTTGGAGTCTTCTCACAAGCTCTTAGAAGTTCTACTCATACAGCTTCATTCATCCAGGGACCATGTTCTGACATAAGACCATGTTTTTAGTCGTTTGTTTATTTGTGTTACTCTAGGTAGTTTAGCACCACCATTTGGTGACCACCCTTTAATCCCCACCATTCATTTCAATGGTGGTATTGGGGGTGAGATGACCCACAGGCTGTATAGCTCCAACAAGTCAGTGTTTACAATCACTAACCATATTGCTAAGAGCTTGAAGGAAAAAAAAAGACAGAGTTAGCATGGAAGTCACAGTGCCTGCCACTGTTTTATCCAGTAAGTGAATACCTTTCCTTTTGGATATAACTTAAAATGAAAAAGTTGGTTTTTTTTTCTCACCTACAGTTTTCCTATCTCAGCATATTGCTCACTTCAAGCTTCAGGCTCTAGTTGTCATCGCTATGACTACAAGTCTGATCAGAAAATTCTTAAGAGAACAGGGATGTATTCTCCTCTGAGGTCTGAGAGGACACAGACAATTGTGGAGGAAACATGAGGCAGTTCATCCCATAAAATTTAGAGTTAGGAAGCCAATGGATGTGAACTCTTGCCCTCAGATAATTTTCACACTTTTTATTCATCTTAAGAACCCAGGCAAGGGAGTGTTGCCTATTGCTTTATTGTGGGTCTCGCTTCAGGTAAATCATTCCCTCAGATGTAAAGAGTGCTTGTCCCTGGTGAATCTAGATCTATCCAAGTTGGCAACCAAGATTAAACACCCCAGTGAATTAGTTTTCTCATTTTATGATTCAGATAATAATGAAAGGTCACTGAAAATATAATAAAACAAATTTAAGAATACTGTGCTCTTCAAATGACAAATCTCCACATGTTACCAGAAGGTCCTATTCTCTAACTGATAGATCAGTAAAAAATGTACTACCTAAGAATCAAAGAATCATCTTTTTTTTTAAGTATCATGTTCTTTTAAAGTCTAAGTAGGTAGAAGAATTGCGACAGAGAATTTTAATATATTATGTTGGAGTCTTGAATTAAACTCATGTTGTTTTTCAAATGGAATTGATAAGAAAGGAGTTCAGGTCAGATTTGTGATTTCACAAACAACTTAAGAAATAGGATAAAACTTGTATCTACCATTTCAGTTCTATTATAGATGAGCACTCCTTCTCAGTTAATCTTGATGGTGATGTAATCATTGCATATGAAATTTGTTCTCAGGGAGGGCATTCCTTTACATGATTGTTGCATAAAAATTGGCTGGCTGAGAAGCCAAAAAGAAAGCACAGCCAATGGTAAAAGGGAGGCCTTTTTATGAGTCCCCAGGAGAGACAGGGGGAGAAACTTTCCTATATGTATGAAGAAGGAAAAATAGGGTAAATCAAATAGTTTTATTTCAGGAGAAAAGAAAATGAGGAAGAAAGGGCAAGAAATAAAAACAAACACTGTGAAGTCATAAAAGCACGGCAGTGAGTTCTGATGAGTTGGTGACGGAAGCTTTTCCCCACCAGTTAATACAGTTAAAGAATGAAGGACAATGCCGACACCACCATGAGGATGTGTTCTCATTTCATCAATCACGTCACTCACTCAAAAGTAGTTTTAATAGCCTGTTCTCGATTTTCATATGGGTCAGCATTGTTCCTAATGAATCAATGCAAGAAGTACACAATAATATAAAACACTCTCCTCATATAAGTGTTCGATCATCACCATACAGAATGGTACCACATTGACAGCAGGAATCTAAGAAGCTGTGGAGAAGTGAAACTCTGCCTGAGTAATAAAAAGCAGATGCGGAAACCCTGACTGCCCTGGGGGACGAAGAGGGAGGAGGAGGGGGAGTGGGGGGAGTGGGAGGGTGTTGGGAGGGGAGGCGGAAATGGAAACTTTTATAATTTAATAAAATTTACTTAAAAAAATAAAAAAATAAAAAGCAGATGCACTATTGACATCTGCATACCATTGCATTTGAGAAACAGTACCACATAAATTTAGGACAATTAACATTTTCTATTGCACTCCTGTTTTTCTAGCTTGGCCATGTAGAAATGAAAATGCATCCTTTCTCTCATGACTACTTTTCAATCATTTCATTTTGATAGGGGAGTTCAGCCAATCACATTCTGTTTTGGGGGCGTGTCGCCCTCAGGCTAAAGCTTGCCTATAAACCTAGCAAGCGTGCTCCCGCTATCTCGTCTGGCTCCTGCGTCCAGATGGATCATTTGGATTCTGGTGTAAGTTGGTGTAAGTCTTATTTCTGTTTATTAAAGCTGTATATTTTGTATAAAGATAGTCTGGGGACTTTTCATTACCAATCACCCTGTGGCTTCATCTGGCACCCAACGTGGGGCCTTCTTCCCCCCTCGTGGCGAGGGCCTAGCAGCCTGAGCATGCACCGCACTTGGGGTCTATTTGCAGCCCCACGGCCTTTACCCTGACTAGCCAGCTCCTAGCCGCATTCGCGGGACCACGCAACTAACTTCCTTGGCTTTTGCTACCCCCATTGGGCATTGTCTTCCCCCAGCGCTTGATCTGTGAATTTAAGCTCTGGATTTGAGAGTATATATTTTAGAGTTTGCTTGCTGGTCTGATGCCATTGCCACATGGATTCAGGTGCGCCCCGCCACCTACTTGCAGGCAACGGTCATTACAGGTAAGATTTTTCTTTTCAGTTGAAAATAAATAAATAAATACATACATATATACTAGTACCATTTCTTTTGATTGAAAATGTCAGAAAATATTACTATCCAAAAGTTCAAAGGCTTTTTTAATTGCACTATGGAGGATATTCTGAAGGATGTCTCTGATATTCCTCTTGGTTATTTCTGGGGCTTGTCACTTTTCTGGTGTTTGGATATTTTATAAGGATGATTCAGTCCTTACAGATTGAATCTACAATGCTGAGGGCAGAGATTAAAACTTTAAGGACAATTCAGACTGACACCACCCTCCTCAAAAAAGAGTTTGGAGTTTTCAAGGAGGAGACTAGATCAGAGTTTGGAGTTCTCAAAGAGGGGACAACCAAAATGACTCGTAACCTCCAGTCCATGACTATAAGTGCTGAAACATTAGCTGAGAGGATTAAAACCATTGAATGTAAAAATCGGACTTTATCAAAAGGTTATGATAGATTAATTGACAAGATGTCCATACAAGAAGGCACAGTACATGCCATGAGGATTATGTCCAAGGAGGATATGGTATCTCTAACGGACAAGCTCCACGACTTAGAATTATCAATGAAGGCGATAGTGTCCAGGGAGGAAATGGTGTTTCTGATGGACAAGCTCCATGCCTTAGAATCGTTAATGAAGGCTTTGGAGCATAATACTGGGCAGGAGATTCAGGACTTACAGAAGGCAATGGTGAGCAGATTTAATAAGATTGAGGAAATCATAGACTTCGATGAACAGGAGCAAAAGGTAGAAAGGCAACATTTACCTCCAAAAACTCTGAGTCTACACAGAGTTATACCTGCCTTTCCAGTAATAACATCAGAAAAGATAACTGGCTCCAAAAACCCTAAGGTCATTAAAGAACATACATGGGAGCCTATACATATGAATGATCTGAAAGAATTTAAACAAGCAATTGTGAATTATGGACTACATTCATCCTTTGTTAGAGAGATGTTAAAATACTGTGCTCTGAGTAGCAAGGCCACTCCTCAAGATTTGAATCAATAAACGTCAGCAGTCCTGGAAAACAGACCATTATGGCATTTCAAAGTCCTATTCAATCAAGAGGCCAGACTTCCACAACAAGAATCAGCGAAAGGAATTCAGGTTTTTCTAGATCAAATTCTAGGTGAAGGACTTTACTCTGATCCTCAGAAACAAGCTCTTTATGATGAAAACATTTTTTTTCTCATTAAACTTGTTTTAATGGGTCTCAAAATTCTGTGACAGATTTTTGGTCAAGTTGTTTCCATTAAAAAGTACTGATTTTGAAAGCTAATAACTTAAAACTGCCACACACACAAAAAAAATGGTCCACAAAACATTCTCCTTTCCTTCTGAAGGTTTTACGATGCATTGTTATCATTAACCAGTCTTTTACTATTAAACTTAAATAGCCAATTGAGAAAACAGTTCTGAGACCGTTCTTCTACCACTGATTAAGACTGGGGTGGCAGGTGTTGGGGTAATATTCATTTAACCTTCTGAGCTTTCTGGGCAGACTTGGTGATCTTGCCAGCTCCAGCAGCCTTCTTGTCCACAGCTTTGATGAGACCCACAGCAACTGTCTGCCACATGTCACGAACAGCAAAATGACCCAGTGGAGGATAGTCAGAGTCTCAACACACATGGGCCTGCCAGGAACCATATCAACAATGGCTGAATCACCAGATTTCAAGAATTTAGGGCCATCTTCCAGCTTTTCTTTAAGCTCAGCAAACTTGCATGCTATGTGAGCTGTGTGACAATCTAGTACAGGAGCATAGCCAGCAATAATTTGGCCTGGGTGGTTCAGGATAATCACCTGAGCAGTGAAGTCAGCAGTTTCCTTTGGTGGGTCATTTTTGCTGTCACCAGCCACGTTGCCACATCTAACGTCTTTGACAGATACGTTCTTCACACTGAAGCCCACGTTGTCCCCTAGAAGCGCTTCACTCAAAGCTTCATGATGCATTTCAACAGACTTTACTTCTGTTGTCACGTTAACTGGAACAAAGGTCACCACCATTCCAGGTTTTAGAACACCGGTCTCCACTCAGCCCACAGGGACAGTCCCAATACCACCACTTTTATAGACATCCTGGAGGGGCAGTCACAGAGGCTTATCAGTTGGATGAGTTGGTGGCAGGACACAGTCCAAAGCTTCCAACAGGGTGGTCCCACTGGAACTACCATCTTTGTGAGTGATCTTTCATCCCTTGAACCAAGGCATATTAGCACTTGGCTTCAGCATGTTGTCACCATTCCAACCAGACATTGGCACAAATGCTACTGTGTCAGGGTTGTAGCCAATTTTCTTAATGTAGGTGCTGACTTGCTTAACAATTTCCTCGTATCTCTTCTGGCTGTAGGGTGGCTCAGTGGAATCCATTTTGTTGACACCAACAATTAGCTGTTTCACACCCAGGGTGTAAGCCAGAAGTACATGCTCACGGGTCTGCCCATTCTTGGAAATACCAGCTTCAAATTCACCAACACCAGCAGCAACAATCAGGACAGCACAGTCAGCCTGTGATGTGCCTGTAATCATGTTTTTGATGAAGTCTCTGTGTCCTGGGGCATCAATGATAGTCACATAGTACTTGCTGGTATCAAACTTCCACAGGGAGATGTCAATAGTGATACCACGCTCACACTCAGCTTTCAGTTTGTCCAAGACCCAGGCATACTTGAAGGAGCCTTTTCCCATCTCGGCAGCCATACGTGCCACAGCAACTCTAAGGGCCTGGGACAAGGTTCAAGACTCAGGTCAGAGAGTAGAATCATATATCAGGGTCAAACAGGGTCAGAGAGAACCCTTTAGTGACTTTTTACAAAGACTAACTAAGGCTGTACAAATCAGGGCACCTGATCCAGAAGCAAGAAATATAGTAATTGAGTCTTTGGCTTATGAGAATGCCAACGTAGAATGCAAAAGGATCCTGGGGCCTTTAAAGATCAGATCAGCGCCTTTGGATGAATGGGTTTTACATACAATGAATGTTGATACATTTGATTATGGCAATGAAACATGGGTGTAAGAAGCAATTTCCAAAGGTAAAAGGAGACATCAGATTACAAAATGCTTTCATTGTGGCAAAATGGGACACATGAAAAGGAACTGCAGACAATGGAATTCCAGGAATAATGCCTCTTCTAGGAATAACAGGAATAGGAGGACTCAGCCTTCAGGTTTATGTAGGAGATGTGGGAAGGGCAGGCATTGGACGAATGAGTGTAGGTCAACAAAAGATAAACAGGGCAACCTGTTGCCATCGGGAAACGCAATGAGGGGCATCTCGCAGGCACCCATGGTGAATGTGGTCCAGTCATTTCCGATCACTGCAGAGAATATGCCTCTTCAGGGAAATTAGAATACCCCATGCCTGATGTTAAAAGCAACAACGGCCTGAAGGATGAGTTAAATGTGGTGAATGAACCAAGAAATCTAAAAGGACAAAGTAAACTATATTCTGGCAGACTTCTATAAATGAACAAAGACCAAAGCTAAGAGTGTGTGTAAATGGCAAATTTATTACTGGCTTACTGGACACAGGTGCGGATGTAAGTATCATTACTCCAGAATTTTGACATCTGCATTGGCCTCTTCAGGAGGTAGGTATTCAGTTCCTAGGAATTGGAACCCTATCTCAAGTAAGACAAAGCATGAGATAGGTCAATTGTATAGGTCCAGATGGACAAATAGGAAAACTAAGGTCATATGTAGCCAATATTGCAATGAATTTATGGGGCTGTGACCTATTGCAGCAATGGAATACCCAAATTAACATTCCTGCTGCTTCTAGAGCCTATATTTCTGAGGAAAATATTACAAAATATTACAGATGGCAGAAACCAGCCATTAGAGCTATACAAGAACACAACACAATTAATGGCCTTTCAGAGGTACCATCAGCCATGCCTCTACAATGGTTGACTGAGAAACCAATATTAACTAAACAATGGCCTTTAGCTGTGGAAAAGTTACAGGCTTTAGAACAGCTGGTACAAGAGCAATTAGATGCTGGACATATAGAAGAATCTACCAATCCTTGGAATTCTCCTGTATTTGTTGTTAAGAAAAAATCTGATAAATGGAGAATGGTGACAGATCTTAGAGCTATCAACAAGGTTATTCAATCAATGGGCCCTCTGCAATCTGGAATTCCTCTGCCCTCCCTGTTACCAAAGGGATGGCCTCTTATAGTTATTGATCTGAAAGATTATTTCTTCACTAACCTTTACAAGAAAAAGATAGAAAAAAGTTTGCCTTCACAGTGCTTACATATAATAACTCTCAGCCTGCAAGGAGGTACCAGTGGACCATCCTCCCACAGGGAATGTTAAACTTTCCTACCCTGTGCCAATATTTTGTAAGCCAACCATTAAAAATTATACACAAACAATTCCTAAGTCCATAATATACCACTATATGGATGATATCCTGATCTCTGATCAAAACAAAGAAACCTTAGAAAGGTTGTTTGAAGAAGTAAAAATAGTGTTACCTAAATGGGGATTGCAAATTGCTCCTGAAAAATTCAGAGAGGAGATTCTGTTAATTATTTAGGTTATAAAATAGGTTTACAAAGAATTAAGACACAAAAGACACAAATCAGGAGAGACCAGTTACGAACTCTTAATGACTTTCAAAGATTATTAGGAGACATCTCCAGCCTACGACCGGCTGTTGGGATAACACCTGATCTAATAATTCATTTAAATAAAACCTTGGATGGTGATAAAGACTTGAACAGTCCCAGAGAATTAACAGCTGAAGGAGAAAAAGAACTGACAATATTTGAAGAAAAATTACAGGAGACTCATGTGGACAAGGTAAATCCAAAGCTTAGTTGTATTCTTGGTATATTGCCTTCCAGAATTTCTCCTACAGGAATCTTGATGCAAGGAGACGATATTATCTTGGAATGGATCTTTTTGCCACACAAACCAAGTAAAAAATTAAAAACTTATTTGGAAAAATTCTCTGAATTGATTATAAAAGGAAAATTGAGACTTTGTCAATTAGCAGGTATAGATCCAGCAGAAATTATGTGCCTTTCACTGCTGTTGAGATAAAAAAGTTGTGGGAAGACAATGAACCATGGCAAAGAGCTGGTGCTAATTTTTTGGGAGAGATCAATAACAATTACCCAAAGAGCAAGAGACTTAATTTTATAAAGTGAACTTCTTGGATCCTTCCTCGAATTGTCCATGATGCTCCAATAACTGGAGCCCATAAATTTTATTCTGATGCTAATAAATCAGGGAAAGCAGGTTACAAATCAGAAGAATTGAGTAAAGTCAAACAAAGTCCTTATGATTCTGTCCAGAAGGCAGAATTATATGCCATTTTTATGGTGCTTAGGGATTTTAAAGAAACTCTTAATATAATTACTGACTCATAATATGCAGAAAGAGTTATCTTGTATATTGAAACTGCTGAATTTATACCTTATGATACAGAACTGATCTCATTGTTTATCCAGGTACAAGACATGATTAGGAACAGGCTTTACCCCACGTATATAACACACATCTGATCCCATATGGGTCTGCCAGGTCCTCTAGCACAAGGTAATGCAGATATTGATCAATTATTGATACTAGTCTGCTGCAGGCATCTGAATTTCATAAAAAAACATCATGTCAATAGCAAAGGCTTGAAAAAAGAGTTTTCTATTACATGGCAACAAGCTAAGGAGATTGGAAAGAAATGCCCTACTTGCTCTTTTTATAACCAAACACCATTGCCTGCAGGGACTAATCCAAAGGGTATTAAAAGGAATGAAATTTGGCAGATGGATGTGTTTCACTTTCCAGAATTTGGCAAATTAAAATATGTACATCACACCACTGACACGTACTCAGGTTTCCAATGGACAACTGCTATAAGCTCAGAAAAAGCTGATTCAGTAATCACTCATTTATTAGAAGTTATGGCCATCATGGGTATACCTACACAGATAAAGACGGATAATGGTACACCTTATGTTTCTAGGAAAATGACACGATTTTTTGCTTATTATAATATTAAGCATGTTACAGGTATACCATACAATCCTACAGGTCAAGCAGTTATAGAAAGATCAAATCGAAAAGATATGTTGAACAAACAGAAAGGGGTGGAAAATATCCCCAGGAATAGGTTACATAATGCTATATTAACCTTGATTTTTCTCAACGCTAATGAGAAGGGGACAATGGCTGCAGAAAGACATTGGATATTGGAAAAGTCTGCTGAATTAAATCAACCAATTTATTTCAAGGATGTACTGACCTCACAGTGGAAGCTAGGAGATGTGCTGTGTTGGGGAAGGGGTTTTGCTCTTGTTTCCACAGGAGAGAAAAAATTGTGGATATCATCAAAATTAATAAAGGTTTGGTTTGAAGAGGAGAAGCCTCTTAGAAGAGATAAATGATAACTCACTTACAAGGATAATCATCACACCAAACGTAAGAGAAATATATAGGTTGGGGGCAGGCTTCTCTTCTTGTCTCCATAGGAGAACACTCATTTTCAAAGGACCCAAGGGACCCTGGATAATTGAATATAGAAACCGCCTACAACCCAAAGAGGATCAACAATGAATCCAAATACTTTAGGTAAGTATTATTAATTTTTTTTAACATGTACTAATGTGCATTTATTTATAAATATGTAGAGCTGGTTTTGGAGTTGGACTATGGCTCAGTCCCTCTTCATTTCCAAGCCTGTTGGTAAGAGATATCCCAGAGTTTCTGTCTCATGTCAAGAGCCAAGATATGGGACAGAATAACTCTAATTGATAAATTTTCTTTGCCTTTCCCCACATCTGTTTCTATCTATCTGTTTATCTATCTATCTATCTATCTATCTATCTATCTATCTATCTATCTATATAAAGATATATGTCTTCGCAGATAATGTTTAACTTTCCCATGACAAACAATAAATTTTCCTGCAGTAATCTTTAAAGCTTCTAGGATGAAGATGGGGCCCCACAACACCAACTCCACCTGGTTACTATGACGTCATAATGTTGATAGTGTTATTTTTCAGACCTGTTTTTTGGTACCAGCTACACAAAACAGTTCTTGATGAAACACAATATTTGATAACACTCTGGTCAGAACTCATCAAATTTCTCAGAGACTATTTACAACTTTCTCACACCAAATGTTTATATGGGAATTTTACCATCTATTATTTTCACAGGACCCCCTAAGAGAAACATCACCCCCATGACAGCTGGAAGCAATTTTAGAGGACGACGTCCCCTCTCCCAGTAGAATTTGCCCTCAGGTTTAGGGACATCATTTAGGGGTTGGTTATAATTGATATAGGGATGAGGGAATGGGGGAGGTATTTTGTAAGCTCACGGGTGTTTATCAAAAAAGGGGAGGATTGATTGGGATAATAATATAATGGTATTTGTGAGTTATTGTTTTTAGAAAATTGTATTGGTGTTGATTTTTGTACATTGATGGTATGTGAGTTATTGTTTTTAGAAAATTGTATTCGTGTTGATTTTTGTACATTGATATATTGAATATTGTATGTGAGTATGCTTCTACCTCTATTTGTATTAATATATCTATACATATATTTACATTCCTACCTCTGATTAAGATATTTATGTAATGATATACATTGTTCACATTTGGAGGTCATTGTCCTCACTCATTGCACAGTTGTTCATTCTCTTAGTCTTTAAGTAAGATAGATAGAAATCAATAGTC